AGTGTCCTGCCGGCCAGGGGCACCGGCCGAGCGCAGGGCTGGCGCGGGCTGTGCCGGGCCCCTCTCCTGTTTTGCATCCATTGGCTGCACCCCGCTGCAATGGCAGCGTGACTGGTGCTGGTGACCTGGCTGGTGACCCTTTGGGGTCGTGTACCCCGGTGGTGTCACCACTGTCCCTTCACTCTGCCAGTGCTTGGCAGAGCATGGGTCCCTGTCACTGCCCCCTTCTCTGGAACAGGGGGACCCAGCACCCCGCAGGAAGAGCCCAGGTCCCTGTCCCCATCCAGAGCTGCACCCACCGGTGCCCCGCTCCCCCGCCGCCATGCCTCCTCCCGCGGTTTTGGGCTCCACGCGGAGCCGCGCAGCCTGGCCCCAGGGCCAGCACAGGAGAGGCTGCTCCGAGCATCTGCTCTGCAAGGACAGCTCGGGTGGCCAGTGCTGACCGACGGAGGAGTCCCCCAAGGCACTGGGCTCAAGACCAGCTCCGGCCAAGGGGTGTAAATCAGGGTCCCCACCCAGCATGCCAAGACCGTTCCCAGAGTGAAGTGACAGAGGGGCAGATAAACTCCTTCAGAGACCGGCCAATGGCTGGGAGCAGCAGGGACGAGCACGGAGGCTCACGGCACGGGCCAAGCTTCCCAGCTTGGTTCTGGTGCTGGGGGATGCAGTGGAGCACGGGTGGGAGCACAGAGGCAAGGACGTGGGGGTAGGGACACGGACCGTGGGTCTTTGTCCCCCTCCGCTGTTGGAAAGCTGCAAACCAGGTGCACAGAGTGCTGCTGGCACCTACGTACGGAGCCGTGCCCGGGGTAGAGGTGGGCCCTTCCCAGGCTCTTCCCGACACCCACCGTGGAGTATCTGGGGAGAAATGAAGATAGAGGGGAAGGTGCTTTACGACTCTGTCTTAGCTTTTATCCCATCCTTGAAGGCTTTAATTTATTGTGTGTTTCCATGTGATTAAAGATCCGAGGCAGGTAGGTGCCTGTTCCCTGGAGCCCCTGAACCACACCACGCTTCTGCTGTCCCCCCATGGCACCTCTGCCCTGAGACACCTCTGGTGCTCCTGCTCCGTGGCTGGAGCTCCCCAGGTTGGGCCCTGCGGGGAACATCTCTGCTCTGGCTTTTTTATGGCAGGTGACACCAAGTGGCAGAATTGTGCATGGGCGCTGTGCGCGGTGTGGGTGGTGTGTGCGGCATGAGTGCTGTGCAGGGGGTGGGTGCTGTGCAAGGCATGGGTGTTGGACTCCTCTGGCTGCAGCCCTGGCACCCAGTGCAGGGGACAACCAAGCACCAGGACCACCCAGGGGGTAGCAGGGCAGTTGGTGGCCCCAGGGACGTGCAGGCTGGGGTCCCCCGCTGTGCCCCGAGAGGCAGCCAGTGGTGCCTGATGCTGGGATATTGCAAGAGCCCATAAAACACCTGGGAAACGGATGCAGAAAATGGGCTCTGAGGAAGCACTGCAAGAGCTGCCCAGGCGACGCCAAGCCCTGCCCAAGAACTGTAGTAGTATCACCCTGGTGCACCCCAGTCTTCCCCACACCCAGCTGTTTGGGCTCTCGTCCTTGCACCCCCTGTTTGGGGTCAGGCAGGGAAAGCCGTGCTGGCAGCAAAGGCACGACCTGGGAAAACAGCAGAGGGGCTTGTGTGCGGGCTGTGCGTGGGTGTGCAGGCAGGGAGGTGGGCAGAGGGTCAGGAAAAACCAAACCTGGCATGAGCCACAGGGCACAAGGCCAAGCAGGAGCTCCCATGGGCTCAGCTCTCCTCTCATACTGGAGCAAAGTAGGTGGTGGGCAGATAAATCCAAAGAGCTGAAGCAACGGTGTTGTGGCCTCCTAAGAACTCCGTCATCCTCGATTTCAACTGTCCAGCTACCCCAAATTCCTCATGCAAACGGTCAACAGAGCAAACACTTAAAGAAAAGCAATCCAGCAGGGCAGGTCATTTCTCCCCGTCCCACGCCCACCACAGGCAGGGCTAGCCCCGGGCTAGTCCCAGGCTTACCAACAAGTGACCACGACGTGCAGCCCGGCAGGGCCAACAGAGCACTTTTTAATAGGCATGAAGCTTTCAGGGGGCCGGACACGCTCCCCGGAGCATCGCTGCGTCGCTGCGCTGTACCAGGCTCCCGTGTCCCCTGCCTGGGGGATGCTCGCCGGGGGTGTCCCAGCTGCAGAGCCGCATGCACGGAGAAGCTGAGCGGTGAGCAAGCCCTGGGCCAGGGACCAGGGACCAGCCGTGATGGCTGAACCAGGTTTCTGAGTTGTCAGAGGGGAAGGTGGGCAGGATGAGGGGGGGAGGGCATCCTCATCCCCCCTGTTGCACCCCAAATGCCAGCAGGATGCACAGCAAGCCCTGAGCAAGCTGAAGCCCTTCCCAGACTGCCAGCACAGCCCTACCACTACCGTCCACCTGTGGGTCTGAGGCATGGCATGGACTACCCCAAAATGGTCCCAGACTGCACCCCAGGAGCTCAGCTGCCCACGTACCGCCAGCAGCCCCCTCCTCGTGCTCAGCTCTCGAAGGCTGCTGTCACACCACAGCACA